AGGAAATACTCGGTGCCCCGGCGGTGTCACTTGTGGGTCACCGACACGCGGCTGGGAGGAGAGCATCCCCCCGGCCCCTGGAACTGTCTGTCCCCTCTGGAACACGGGGGCCGTGGCTCTGCGGGGAGCCGAGCCCGAGCTCGGCCACCCGTGTCACCCGTGACCCCGGGCTGACAGCGGTGCGTGGGTGACAGTGATCAAGGGACGTGACAAGGGCACACCCCGACAGGACGGTGATAAACAGGTTCACACGATGATAACGGACCGGCTCTGCTCCCTCTCCCTCCCTCTCTCTCTTCCCTTCACAGCCTGGCTTGCACCAGGGATGAGGGCTGGAGCATTCCCTGGGGCTCGTGCCTACTCACCCCGAGCAGAGCAGCTCCACGAATGTTCTGGAGAAGGGGAATTGGGTGCGGCCGGATGGGTTCCGTTCTGGAGTCGCTTTTTGTGTGGGGACACACCTGCTGGGAGTTAGGAGCCGGTGCTTCTGGGAAATGGAGCAGCTTCGTAGAGCTGCACCCTGCATTAAGTGTGGACGGTTTCCTGCAGGCCAGGGATGCATGTGCGTACCCCTCCTGGATGGATGTGGCAGGAAATGGAGAGCAGAGGGTGGCAAACATCCTACAGGGATTGTGGTGTACAGGGTGCTGCTGCAGGTGACATCCACAGCCCAGCATGAGGACGAGAAGGTGACAGGGCAGAGTCCAGGCACTCGCAGCTGGCAGCGGCCCCAGCATGGTGCTGGGGTGGGCGTTTGATGGGGGTTAGCCCTTGCTCCTTGCCCCTTGCCCCTTGCCCTTCCTGCCACAGCGGAGGGGCCAGTGCTTCAGCCAGTGCTGGACGGTGAGTGAGTGAGTGAGCACCTGCCTTGATCCCTAGGGATCTGTTCAGGAGGTGGGGGCTGTTTGCCCAGCCATGAGCTCTGGCACATGAGTGTTTTGGTGGTACTCAGGCACCAGTGCTGAAATCCTATGGGAATGCTGCTGGAGCAGTGGATCCTCACTGGGGCAAACGGGCACTTGGCTTCCCTGTAGGATTAGGTCACCACCAGCTTTCCTCTGCCACCACTGGTGCTGGTTCGTGTCCCTGTTTGTCCTGTGTTATCCAGCAGCAGGGGGGGATTATCCCCCAATTTCACTGTGCAGGATCCAGTGGGACACAGACTGGAACCATGAACTTAGTTCCTAATGGCTGCTATTAGTTGTTCTGTGGTTATCAGGGTAATCAGGTTTCTAGACCTTGCTCCCATGGCGTGTATTGGCATACATGGAATTTTATGGCATGAAAAGTCACCTCGGTGACTTCTTGTGGGAGTGGGGGGCGTTGGGAGGACACACAGTCCAGGCCTTCTCCTGTCCCTGCCCTCGTCCCGTGACTGCTAATCAGGTCTCCTGGTGCTGCCAGCTTTCCTGCAGCCAAACCTCAGGATCTGAGCTTTTAATCCCCCTCCGGACCATGAATCTCGTGGCATTTTGCATTCTCCACGGGCTGGGCATTGTGTCCTACCAGGAAGAGCCAAGGGGCAGCCACTTGCCTGTGGCTCAGCTGAGGTCCTGCCAGCTGCCCAGCTACCAAGTAACATGGATGGCCCCGCGCCCAGTGTGCACATTAACTCATTTCCACAGCCAGCACATTCCTGTGCTATCCCCTCCGGAACATCCCTGGTGCAGGGTGTCTGCATCCCTCTGCCTCTGCTGCCCAGAGGGAAGTGTTGCTCCAGGAAGCAGCAAAAGCCCACTGAGCCTTAAAGGGGAGGAAAAGGAGGTGACAGGAGCTGAGGATGCCCCACTGTGGATCCAGATGCTCTGCACATCCAGGCTCCGGATGCACGTGATGTACGAATGCTGCCCGAAATGACCCTCCTGCCCCGCTTCTGCACAGCGAGACGCATGGCTGCTTTTCTTCTTCCCAGAACATCTCCTGGGGAGAAGGTAGTGGTATTTATTTGCCTTGTGATTCTGGAGGAATTTTGAGCCTGTGCCAAATGCTGCTTTTTCCACAGAAACTGCAGCGCCTTGGTTTTCCATGTGTCCGAGAGTGCCTGTGGACAGAGAGAGGCTGCGTGGTCCAGTAGAGCCTGTGTAGCTGATGGCTCCTGGGATAATGCCGCTGTCCTGCTGCAGAGCCATGCCCAAGAATGGTGGTGCCAAAAAGCCGGTGTCAGAGATGGTGCCAGACCAGCGCTGGAAGCTACAGGTCTTCTACCTCTGCTTCTATGGCTTCATGACGCAGATCCGGCCCGGGGAGAGCTTCATCACCCCCTATCTGCTGGGGGCTAACTTCACAAAGGCAGAGGTGAGCAGTGGGCACCCAGTCCCCACTCCTGGTGTCCCCCTTTATTGCCATGATCACCACCCTGGGGCTGGCCAGAGCATCCCTCTGTGCATCTGGGGTGCACAGGGGTGTCACATCTGGGGCATGGTGGTGTGTGGTGACTCGTGGTGCTGCTTCTGGGTAGGGGAGGTGCTCTGGTGTGGGGCCCTGTCTCACTTGGCTGTGAGGTCACTCTGTCCCCTGGGTCCCAGGCTTGACCTGCTCTGGCATAAAACCTTGTGCCCAGGCTGGCAACTGACTTTGGGGCCAATGTGTGACCCCTGCCCACCTGAGCAGCCTGTGGGATGGTGGGAGGGTGCTGGGCTGGGAGAAGCTATTCCCCATCCCACTGGGGAGACTTTTCCATGATGGCACGGTGCACTGCCAGGCCACCGGCAGTGATAGGGTTAGACAAGGAGGGGCCACAATGTCATCGTCTCCCAACCAAGGGATGCTGGCCCCGATCCCAGCTGGCTGCTGCGCCTGTGGGAACGCTGCATTCCTGGCATGGGAAGGGGCCGAAGCTCAGCCAGACCCCCCAGCTGAGCATGCTGCTGGTCACGTTCCTCCCCGAAGAGGTGCTGCCGTGGGGGACAGCAGCCAGTGCCCACAACATCTGTGGGTTGGGGGGCATCCCCAGGGCTATGCCCAGCACTCAGCCCCTCCTCGCCCTCACGGCAGGTGACCAACATGATCACGCCAGTGCTGTCCTACTCCTACATGGCTGTTCTGGTGCCCATCTTCCTGCTGACGGACTATCTGCGCTACAAGCCCGTGCTGGTGCTGCAGAGCCTGAGCCACATCTCCATCTGGCTGCTGCTGGTGCTGGGCACCTCTGTCCTGGCCATGCAGCTGATGGAGTTCTTCTACGGCATCACCATGGCTGCCCGCATCGCCTACTCTTCCTACATCTTCTCCCTGGTCGCCCCGTCCCGCTACCAGCGGATGGCCAGTTATTCCCGCTCTGCTGTGCTCCTGGGGGTCTTCACCAGCTCTGTGTTGGGCCAGCTCTGCGTCACCTTGGGTGGCGTCAACTTCCTCACCCTCAACTATGTGTCCTTGGGCTTCGTCAGCTTCGGCCTCATCCTCACCCTCTTCCTCGAGCGGCCCCGGCGCAGCCTCTTCTTCAACCGGCCTGGGGGGCCCGATGGAGCTGCTGTGCCCACTGAGCTGGACAGGATGGCAGGAGGGGACAGTGGTGGAGAGACAAGGGGCTGGCGGGACATGGTGCTGTGCCGTATGCTGCGGGAGCTGGGAGTGCTGGCCAGGCAGCCACAGCTCCGCCTCTGGTCTCTGTGGTGGGTCTTCAACTCAGCTGGCTACTACCTGATGCTGTACTATGCACACATCCTCTGGAATGAGATATCTCCCACCACGGACAACCGCCACGTGTACAATGGAGGCGTGGATGCTGCCTCCACACTCCTGGGTAACTCGCCTGGGATGGGGACACTGGGGCTGTGGGGGGACACTCACATCCTGCTGCCTCTTGTGGGAATGGCTGGGGACACCACAGAGGCAGGGGGTCACTGCTGTCCTGCTGCACCCCCTGGAAATGGTGGTCCTTACGGAATTTTTGGTGGTTTGGCATTGGAGATGACGTGATGATCATTGGGCTGGTCCCAGCCTAGGTAGGGTGGGGGATCCCTGAGGTGCTCACAGCATCCTTCATCCCTCCCCAGGAGCCGTTGCCTCCTTTGCTGCTGGCTACGTGAAGATCCGCTGGATGCTGTGGTCAGAGCTGGTGATCGGACTGGTGACGGCATTCCAGGCGGGATTGCTCCTGCTCATGAACTCCACCACCAACATCTGGCTGTGCTATGCTGCCTACATCCTCTTCCGTGGCTCCCACCAGTTCCTGGTGCCCATTGCCATGTGTGTGGTACTCCCAGGGACACACTCTCACCCTGGCAGACAGATTGATGCCAGGGGTTCACCAGTGTTCCCATTTTTCCCAGTTTCCAGATTGCTACCTCCCTCTCCAAAGAGCTCTGCGCTCTGGTCTTCGGGGTCAACACGTTCTTTGCCACCGTGCTGAAGACCATCATCACCGTCATCGTGGCTGACAAGAGGGGCTTAGGCTTATCTGTGCATCCCCAGGTAGGGTTGGGGGAGCACCTAGGATGGAGGTGGTCCCTGAATGGTGCGGGATTAAGGGAGGGCTCCAAATGCCATTCTCCCCTCTCTCTTTTGCAGTTTTATGTATATTTCAGCTACTTCACACTGTTGGCCGTAGTCTACCTGCTGGGGGCCATCAGAGTGGGTGTCCAGCACAGCCACTGCAGGCAGCCGGTGGAGCTGGCCCTGTCCAAGGAGGAGATTCCAGTGCAGGAGAAAAGCCCGGAGGTGGGCACCACACGAGCCTGAGCACTGGTACCGCGACACTGGGGCCGGCTCTTGGCTCCCGAAGTGAGCACTGTCATCGTCGCCGTGTGCTTGGTGTCCTGTGCCACTGCTGGTCCTGGGTGCTGTTCTCTCGAGGCTGTAACCCTTGGGACACATTTTCTGCTCCATGAGGACAGGGCTGCACCCCTTCCCTGTCCCCAAACACAGAGCCAGGGCAGGATTCCCACGGTGCCACTGCCATGTGCCACACAGGGGTCTGGATGGGGACCCCATCCCGCTGCTTCCCCATCATGGCACAGAGCCAAGCTACAAGAGGATGTTTCTTTATTCAGTGCCTTTAGAAAATGGTTTATAGGACACAACTGACAACAAAAAAATAATATAAAGATCCACAGGCTTTAAATTGCATTAATTACACAAAATACAGTAGACTGTAAGAAATAGAGACCGTGTGACTCGCACAGCTTTTATGGTAATAATTTCCATACAATAACAAAAAAAAGCTAGTTACAGATTTCTCCTTTTTCCTTTTTTTTTTGGTTTTTTTTTTATTTAGCACCTTGGATTTGCCCACACCAATTCCAACCAGCTTTGCTGCGCCTTCGCCATTCGAGCCCAGCAAAGGTGGCACAGGGAGGGGGGGATGGCAATACCTACCCTTGGTACCACATGTGCCCAACACCCACAGACACAGAGAAACATGTGCCATGCCTCAGGGTCACCCTGTCACTCCAGTACCTGTGCTGGGCTGGCTGTGGCTGTACCTGGGCTGTGGGGGCACAGCTGGGAATCCCCAGGGTGCATGGATGGGATAGGGGAGACTAGACCCCCACCAGAGCTCTTCTGGCTGGGAGGTAGAGGTGAGGATGATGAGGTGATGGTCCTTACCTGGGGAGGACGGAGACCATCTGGGAGAGCCCCAGCATCGCCATGGGACAGTCCCTTGGGTAGGATGCTGGGGTCTTGGCTGGAGAAGACCCCATGGCCTCATCATCAGGGATTTGGGCCCAACCCCAACCTCCTAGTGAGGATAGTACGGGGCCAGGGGGCTGGTGAGAGAGCCCACACAGGCTTTTGTGGGGGACAGCCCACATGGCAGTACTGAAATCTCCCTGTCAAGCTTCCTCCCACCCAGCCACCCCAAAAGGAGTATCCGAGCAGGGAGAGGAACCAGCTGAAGTGGTTAAAAATATTAGGAGTTAGAAGAGGAGGAGGAAGGCTGCCGGCCCATGGCTGCTCTGCCCCAAGTGGGACCTGAGCCCCTGCCGACCCTGGGCAGGGGCCATGGCAATACTTCTTTGGCTTCAGGTCTGTGGGAGAAGGAAACCCTGCAGGGTGGGAGTGGGTGTGTGAAGGGGGCTGACGGGCCCAGGGGTGCTGGGGTGCAGGTTGGCCCTACCCTTCCCGGGGACATGGGGGTACCAGGGGGCACCAGGGCAGGTATCACTTTTTGGCGGAGGTCATGAAGCTGTTCTCGATGCAGAGGACGATGAAGGCGTGCTGGCAGCTGCTGGCCACCTGCTCCAGCAGTTTTCCAGAGGCCAGGGACGAAGCCTGGCCGGTGACTGTGCGCTCCTCTGTCCGCCACGTCTCGCAGTAGCTCTCGGGCAAGCGCCGGCCCTTGGCATCCGAGCCGTGCCAGACACTCTTCTGCGGCCTGGAAGGGTAAAAGGTGGGGGGCTGCTGCTGCCCCACCTATGCTCCAAGCCCTATTTCCCCATTGCTCAATCCTGCACTCACCATCCCGCATCCCGCAGGACATCCCGGCCATCAAATGAGAGGATGCGGGCACCAGCTTGCAGTGGGGCCCCGCTGCCCATGAAAAGGGCTTCCCAGTTATTGAAGAGCACTTCATCCTGGTGGGAAGAGTGGGAAAATGGAGGAGGAAGGGGTTTAGCTCTGTGCACTCCAAAAGCAGCCTGGAAGGTCCAAGCCCCAGCAGCCTCTGGGAAGAGGATGCTTCGTGATGGATGGGGGCTTTGCTATGCTCTGCATTCCAGACCTCACTGGTGCTGGGTTCACAGTTGGACTTGATGATCTTAAAGAGATCTTTTTCAGCCATAATGACTCTGTGATCCTACTCTATGATCCCCCAGAGCTCATAGAGTAGCTATGGTACTCTATGGTGGGAAGGGGATGGGGACGTGTGTACCCGGAGGTTGACGATGGGGACGGTGGCACGGTCGGCCCTGCGCACGATGCTGTAGAGATCCTGCAGGCGTGAGGACAGGAAGGCGCGGAAGGTGCCAGCCAGCCCGACCTGCCGGGCTTGCTGGAAGCACTGGAAATCGGCGCCCCGGATGCCGCGCATGCCGCCACTCAGCGGGGTGTTCAAGGCCACCAGGTGAAGCTGCCAAGAGGGGACAACGGGGCTTGAGGGACGCAACTTTGGCCACCACCATCAGCTCCCCTTGGCCAGCATGTGGCACTCACTGCAGGCTGGAAGTCCTGGTGCACATGGGCGGCCACGGGCACAGGATCTGGCCGGCGGTGGATGTAGTACCCATTGATGAGTTCATGCTGGTGGTGCAGCAAGGGCTGCTCGGGCAGGCGGTGCTGGTTGGCCACCACCTCGTCCCCACGCCAGGGACGGGCGGTGGCTGGGGGGACATGGTTGCGGAGCGGGTGCAGGGGCCCATGGGGCTGGGGGCCAGCGTAGCGGAGGGTGGGCGGCTTGTCGTACACCTCGTTGTCCTGGGGAGGTGGACATGGCATGAGTGCAGTGTCCCAGGTGGGGGCGGGGATGATGGAGATGGAGAATGTTGGGGATGGATAGAGATGGTTGTGGTTGGATGAAGTTGGGCATGGAAATGGTAGGGGTTGGATGGGGATGGGAATGGAGATGGCTGGGGATGGCGATTGATATGGCTGGGGATAAATGGAGAAGGGGATGAAGTTGATTGTTGACAGATAGGGATGGTTGGGCATGGAGATGGTTAGGGATGGGATGAGGATGGATGAGGATGGAGTATAGGGACTGGGAAGGAGGATAGGGATGAGGATGTGCACAGGGACCAGAGGACTCACCAGAGCCGAACTGGGGATCAGGTTGTGTTCCTCCAGCTGCAAGAGCATGGCACATCAGATCCCAGCTTGCACCCCTCTCCTTTTCCTCTCCCATAGGTGGGGGGACCCCGAGCATCACCAACAGTCACCACCGCACCCCCAGGGCAGTGCTGTCCACGCTCCCCTCAAGCCGGGCAGCGCAGCCCTGGCTGGGTGCCCCCCCCCAGCTCCCCACTCACCAGCACCCTGCGGAAGCCCCCACGCAGGCGGACATAGAGCTCCTGCCGGTCGGTCAGGAAGACGAGGCTGCCCTCAGGCAGCTCGTGCGCGCTGCTCAGCATTGCCTGGTACGTGGGCACGGCCCGGATCTGCAGGCACAGCCCGGGGCAGGGCTCAGGGATTGGCTGCTTGTGCCACGGGCAAGCCCTGCCCAAAAGCCCCCACTCACCCCCAAGAACATCCCACTAGTGCCTGGCGGTCCAGGGGGTCCTGGTGGTCCCGGGGGTCCAGGGATGCTGACAGCTATGGGAGAAGGAGGGTGAGATGGAGAGAGATGCAGCACGGGGAGGAATGCAGAGGTGCAAGGAGGGATGCATGGGATACAAACAGGGATGCTGGGGGTACAGGAAGGGATGCCATAGAGCTGGTACCTTGTCTGTGAGGACCTGGGAAGGAGGGTGGCCCGGGAGGACCAGGAGGGCCAGGGGGGCCTTGCCGCCCCTCATATCCGATACCAGGGGGACCCTGAGGTCCTGGAGGCCCCGGTGGCCCAACAATACTGTCCCCCTTGGGACCCTAGGCAGTGTGAGAGAACATGTGTTGGACAAAAGCCCCCAGGGGCACCCCCCTTCCCTCCGCACCCCATGAGGTACTCACCGGCAGCCCAGGGTATCCCTGGGGCCCTGGAGGCCCTGGAAGTCCAGAGACTCCAGCACCATAGAGTGGGGTGCTGCCTGGCTCGCCCTTCTCACCCTTGGGACCTGCATCCCCCTTGTCACCCTGTGGGATGGCACAGCCTTAGGGTGGGTGGATAGCCCAAACCACACTGGGTTCCAGCTGCAGTGTGCAAAGGGCTTACCCGCAGGCTGGTACTGAAGTGACTCACGTCATAGGGGAACTGGCCTGTGGAGAGAGGGACAGAAGGGGAGAAGAGCTGGGAGAGGCCTAAGCCACCCCCTGCCTGCTTCTGTCAGCAGGGACCAGTCACCTACCTGGGGGTCCTGGGGGTCCAGTGTCACCTTTTTCTCCCTTTTGTCCTGGGAACTGGTGGAAACCTGTGGGGAGCAGCAGAGATGCTATCTCACAGCTGCAGCTCTAAGGGAGGGAGGGGCTTTCCCTCCAGCCCTGCTTTGCTGAGGTTCCCTGAAGTGCCCAGAGGTGGTTGGGAGAGGGACATCCCCTTACCAGGGAACACCGGATGGCCAGAGTCGCTGAAGGTCTGTGGAGATACAAAGGAAGTGGCTGCAGAGACAGCAGCATCCTCGGGGATCCCCCCAGTGCTGGTGACAGTCCCACATGCCAATCGCAGCCAGAGTGTCACCTGAGCATCCTCAGTGCCCTCCAGGCAGGGAACTGGGGGCCCAGTCATCAGCATGTTCAGCATGGTGACTGGTGATACTCACATTGCCATTGTTGTAGACTATGCTGCCAGGTGGCCCAGGGGGCCCAGGGGGTCCTGGGAGGCCTGGGGGGCCCTATGGAGGGTGAGAGGATTTGTCAAGGTCCTGCAAAGGAGACAGTCCCCACTATGGGGCGGGGGGGACGGGGACAGTCAGCCCCTGAGAGAAGGAGATGTGCCCTTTGGGGTCCTCAGAGAGACACTCCAGGCGCGTGTTCCGCCCTGCAGCTGGGGGGTCACAGCAGCGCTCACCCGCAAGCCCAGCACATCCGCGGGGTCACCCTTCTCGCCCTTCAGCCCGTTCATGCCGGGACGTCCCTGCAGATGAGCAGCACAATGAGCCTCGTCCTCGTCCCCCTGGTGTCATGCCTGGTGCCCCAGAGTCACCTCTGACAGCCTGGCAGCGTCCCATCCCTCAGGGACACAGCAGGCCGTGGGGCTCAGCGGCTGCAGAACGTGCACACAGGGAGGGGGACGCGGTGGAGGTGATGGACACAAACAAACCAGGAGCAGGTCTTACGGGTCTGCCCGGAAAGCCAATCTCTCCCTTCATCCCTGCTCGTCCCGGGGGACCCTGGAAGGGAGGGAAGACGAGGCTGAGGGTGCTCAGTGTGGGGGCAACCCCTCTGCCTGGGACCATTCCCAGCCCTTCCCGCAGGACACAAGCAGGAGGACAGTGACGTTGACTTACCGATGGTCCCATTGGGCCCCGCAGCCCCGGCTCCCCCTGTAAACAGTGGAGAGGGAAAGGACATCACCCCTGGGACCACCTGGCACCTGTCCCTTGGGGATGTGCCCCCCATTCCTGCCAGGAACCCACCTTTTCTCCCTTCACCTTGGCAGTGACCACGGTCCCATCAGGGCTGATGATGACACCGGGCTCCCCCTTCTCCCCCTGCAAGAGAAGAGGAGGTGGGAGGGGACATGGAAGGACCAGGCTCCCTCCCGTGACAGGGCTGGTGTCATCTGGAGGACAGGTAGAATGGGGGACCCCACAGGGTGCAGGTGGCCTGGAGCAGTTACCTTCAACCCTGGGGCACCCTGGGGACCAGTTGACCCCTGGTCACCTTTCGGTCCCACTGGACCCTGCAGGAAGGACACAGAGCCCACGTCATTCCCAATCCACCAAAGGCAGGTCCCAAACTCCCCCTCCATCACCACCACTCTGCAGCAAAGCACAGCAGGACTGGCAAGCACAGCTGTCACCAGAACCACCCTGTGGTCCCCACATGTGTCACCGACTCACCGGGAAGCCAGCGTGGCCTGGTCTTCCCTGCAGAGAGAAGCAGAGATGCTCCTAAGAGCAAGCCCCCTCTTTCCAAAAAGAGGGTGCCCTCCTAGCACTGCTGAGGGATGGCCACAGGTAGCAGGAGGGCACCTACCTCTGGACCAGGAAAAGCCACCAATGACTTCTGCAAAGAGAGACAAATTGAGGTTTTTCCCCTGATCTTGGCTCTGAGGGTCAGAGCTGCTGGTGAGGTCTCCCTCCCGGTGGCTGCTGGAATAGCCCTTCCCCTGCCCTGTGCTGAAGCCAGGTGCCACCACTTACATCTTCACTGGAGACAGTGATGACCTGTCCAGGGGGACCAGGTGGTCCAGGGGGGCCAGGCAGGCCCACTCCATCTTGGCCTCGCTCTCCCTGGAAGACACAAGCCCTCAGCCCAGAGCCACCAGTGGCTGGACCTCATCCCCAGCCTGGTGGCACCTACCTTCTCACCGGCGCTGCCTTTGTCACCTTTGGGTCCCTGGAAAGAGGAGCAGGATGGACTGAGCACCACACAGAGATGGACTCTGGCTCACAAGTACCAAACCCTCTCAGGTCTGGCTCAAAAAAATCCTTCAGGCAACCCCACCCCTGCCTCCCGCTCCAGGCAACAAGCCAGGCTGCGGTGATTTTGAGTGGAGGTGCAGTGGGCTGCAAGGTGGGGGGAGAGGATCCTATGGAGTGTGGGCACCCTGGAATGCCATGAGCTGGGTCCCACAGCAGGGAGGGGGAATTTTAGCTGCTGGGGATGGAGCTGCTGCAATCAAGGGTGCCCTGCCTGGAGAAGGTGGGGGGAGGGGGTTTCTTCTTGAGCTGGGGGGCTGAAGCTCCTACCTGTGGTCCAGGGAAGCCCTCCAGGCCAGGGCGGCCATCCACACCAGGCATGCCAGCATCTCCCTGTAGTGGGAGTGGGAAAGGGCAGGATGCAGCCCCAGGTCGGGGAGCACAGGGGTCCTGGCCACTGCTCTGCACACCTAGGTATTGCCATGGAGCCATCCCAATCTCCCAGGGCTCTTACCTTTGGTCCTGGCAAGCCAGGCTGTCCGGGGCTGCCAACCTCTCCCTGCAAGGAAAGAGGTGTGAGAGGCATCCCTACAAGCTGCCTGCAGGCATCCTACATGAATGGAGCCAGGAGCCTGTTGGAAGGGTTCCTCACCTTCACCCCTGGCAGTCCCGGCACACCCTGCAAGCAACAAGGGGACCATGAGCACTGGGTGATGGCAGGGAATACCCCAGGGAGCCCAGGATGGAGAAGAGGGAAAGGGCAGGAATGGTCCTACCTGTGGTCCTTCAGGTCCAGGTGGTCCAGGGCTGAATGACAGCCCCGAGCCCTCCATGTCACCCTAAATGCAGGAAGAAGGGGCTGAGCTGTGTCTGTCCCCTGCTCCACCTCATCCCACCCCATCCCTGCAGTCACCACTCACAAATCCAGCATCGTAGCCTGGCCCTGGTGGTCCTGGGGGGCCGGGGGGCCCTGGCTGCCCTCGGGGTCCGATGGGCCCGGGAAGGCCAGCTAAGCCCATTTCTCCTGGGGGTCCCACCGGTCCCACTTCTCCTTTGTTGCCCTGCAAAGGGGACAAGAAGAGGATAGGTGGAATGTGGCAGTGGTCGCTGCCTGGAGCCTGCAAGCAGGAGGCAGAGCACCCCCTTCCAAATCCCCTCTGGGACAGGATATGGATGCTTGTCTTCATGCTCTCGTACAGGGGTTTTTCGGAAGGGGGCACTGCTCAGCTCAGGCACCCTTCATCCACTAGCTCCCCATGTAATGTCCACAGTGTAATATCCACAGTGGCCACCAGAGCCTCATCTAAAATCATAAAACGGGAATGTTTTTGCACGTGGGGCTGGCTTCAGCTCTGCAGCAGAGCTCAGTGCCATCAAGGAATGCTCCAGGCATTCCTGGGATTGCAATGGGTCCGGAAGCAACAGGATTGGACGTTACCCCCGTTGCCACCCTATCTGCCCTCTGGGTGCTGCAGAAGTGCAGAAAGTTAGAATTGAGGTTAAGAAACCTTAATTTTTGAGGTTTTTGCCCCCAGCTCAGGCTGCCGTGGATGGTAGGGGCAGCATCCCAGCTCTAAGGGATGCCAGCAAGCCTTTACTTCCACCCTTGCAGATGCAGGCTGGAAAGAAGCTGGAGAAAGCAGGCAGGAGGGAGTGATGCACAGAAGATGGGATGTTTTCCACAGAAGTGGGGTGTGGGCACTCCCCAGGCAAAGTCTCCTTTGGTCTGGAAACACTCCCCTTGGTTTTCCTGCTCACTTCCTGATGTGGCAGTGCCTGGAGCAAAGCCAAGGCAGGGTGGCAGGAGGCCAGTGAGCATCCTTTTTGGGGTCAGCAGCTCCATGCACCTTTGAGCTGTGGCACTGATCTGGGAGGAGCACAAATAGCAGCACCCCCCTTCCCATCCCTGCACAAGAGGGCTCCCTCCCCCAGGCAACATCCCTGCCTCCAGCCTGCAATGGAGAACCCAAAAAAGCCCACCCCAGGCACAGTACCTTGGGTCCCGGTAGGCCAGGGAGGCCGAGGTCACCCACATCGCCCTGGGAAGGAGGAGGGAAAAGAGGCTGTGAAGAAGCTGCCCAGCTCCAGACAGGAGCAGAATGGTGCTCCCCAGCCCAGGAACTGGGGCCTCCCAGAGATGTGTCAGGAGTGCCAACTGCCTCAGGAGACAGCTGTGACATACTCCTGGGGCACATGGGACAGGGGACACTCACCCGCTCTCCTTTGGGCCCTGGCTGCCCAGCCTCCCCGTCTCTTCCTGGAGGACCCTGAGGACCCTGTAAGATCCCAGGAGTTGGTTCCACCACAGGGAAAGCCCACAGAGCTGGTAGGCACCCAGTCCCCCACCACCACAGGGTGGGATTCACCCTGGGATGGGTCCCCTTGGCCCCCCCATAGACCTACCACTGGCCCCGGGGGCCCAGGGATCCCATCCCTGCCCGGCAGCCCTGGTGGTCCTGGCAGGTCTGTGCGGTTCATCCCAAACCGTCCTGGCTCTCCTGGCAAACCAGGTACACCAGGTGGCCCTGGAGGACCAGGTGGCCCTTGTGGACCCTAGAAGAGACGTGGGGGGCCATGGTTGAAGATGTCCCCCCACTCCCAGCTGGCAGGACAGGCACCCACCCCCACTCACCCGCAGGCTCTCCAGGTCACCACCGAAGCCTGAGCCCTCCATGTCGATGAAGGTCTGGGGGAGAAGCACGAGGTGGGTGTCAGGGTACCCAGTGGCACTGGGACATGCCCAGGGGCTGGTGGCAGCACTCCGGACCTCCATGGCTCAATGGACCCCCCATCCCTCAAATCCCTGTGTCCCATGGGACACCCACCAGCTTGTCATTCTTGGAGGAAGGTCCCGGCGGTCCTGGAGGGCCAGGTGGTCCAGGAGGTCCCCTCGGCCCCATGCCTGGGTCACCCTGGCACAGAGGAGAGAGTGTGGTTTGGGGCTGCAGCCGAGCTGGGGGTGAGAGGAAGAGGGGACATGTTCTGCCCCCCAACACCAGCACTCACCTTCTCCCCCTTCAGGCCCGGCTCCCCTGGCAGCCCAGGGAACCCCGGGGGCCCCATTTCACCCTGCAAAGTGGAGCAGTGGGGGCTCAGCAGGTGGCAAGGCAAGGGGGTGTCCATCCCCTGTCACCCTGCCACCCCCTCCACCCCACTTACAGGTTTGCCGTCCTCGCCAGGATCGCCCTAGGTATGGCAGAGAGGGGACAGGTCAGTGTGCAGGTTGGGGGGACAGGGGACACCCTGTGGAGGGTGAATTGACTCACAGGCTCGCCATCCCTGCCAGGGGCTCCATCCTTCCCTGGTGGCCCTGGGGGGCCGGTGACCTGCTCCACCACCGAGCCATCAGTGTGCCAAGACGGGGCCCCAGGGGGTCCAGGGTCACCTGGTTCTCCTTTCTGGCCCTTAGAGCCAGGGTAGCCAAATCCAGCACTGCCCTGGGGAGGGGAGGAGACAGGGGTGGGTGGCAGGTCCCTAGGCTGGCAGCCTGGGTAGGGCGAGGCTCCATGACAGCTCCCCCAGCAATGCTGACCTTGACACCCAGGTCTCCTTTCTCACCCTGAGGATCAGAAACAGAGAGAAGCGTGTGTCAAGTACAGACCTGCAGCTGGCACCCTCGAGCCCCCAGGGACCAGCTCTTGCCCACCTTTTGACCCTTGACACTGCCTGGCCCTATGGTGCCATCGGTCCCTGAGTCCCCTTTCAAGCCACGTTCCCCCTTCTCCCCCTTTTCGCCTTTCCGGCCGGTGCCTGTGGAAAAGGAAAAGGACCCACTCGTGGCTGGGGACGGCCGCACCACCATGTCCCCGCTTGCATGCCCTGGGGAAGGGGAAAGCTGCTGGAATTACCTCCCGTGGAGACCTGCAGCGTCTCCTCCACCCTGGTCCTCTCGGCCTGCTGCAGGGACCCCCCGCCACTCCTCGGGCCACTGCCCCCCGCCACGGGGGGAGAGGTCACGGGGACAGCCTCCACCAGCCCTGGGACACCCTGCGCCAACAGCGAGGGGACACCATGGCACCATTCACCTCCCAGCGCCTTCCCGCAAGGGACAGGTGCTGGGACACCATCCAGCATCCCATGACCTCAGGGGAGGGCACTCAGGGCACTCAGCCCCCCTCAGCACTAGAATTTTGGGGTCTCGCCTTGAGCGCAACACCTGCAGGCAGCAACTCACCTCTACCTTGCCCGAGAACTTCTGTCCACCTTCCATCCCGCTGCCAAAATCCCCAGAGACCTGCATTTGCCCGTGGAGAAGGAGTGAGGGCTGAGCTGGCAGCACGGTGGGGACAGTCCCGAGTCCACCACAGCTGTGCTGCCAGCGCTCACCTCTGTGTCATCCTCCTCTTCCTCGCACTGGCGCTCGGCCGCTCGCGGGTCACCTCGCAGCTTCAAATCTGCAATCACCCCCTGGAAAGAGACCACGAGCAGGTGGGGAACATGGACAAGCCACCCTACTGTGATGTGACCTGCTGTGCCACTCAGCCACCACGTCCTCAAGTGGGAGAAAAAGGATGGGTGAGATCTGCTGTCAGTGCAGCGAGCAGCTGAAAGAGGTCACCACGCAACTGGGGCCATTTGCTTGTGAGAGGAATTGACATAATTGTTTAATTATATATAAACTATATATTTATATTTATTATATTGTATATTATATTAAACTTATTATATAACTTATAATTCATTCATATTGTGTCACAGTCAGCCTGGCTGAACTGTGACTGCCCCTGCTCCTTATTTTCTTAAGTCCATCACGTTTCCTTGCCCGGACATGGTGAGCTGTGCCTTCAGGCCAGCCCAAATATTATTTTAGGTGTCTCGCCCAAAGAAGAGCCACCAAGGGGGAGGTATCTCCTCTCTCTGAGCTTGCTTCCCAGCATGGTCCCCTGCTCTTCCCCACTGGGATCAAATGGATGGGCAGCATCCCAGCTCAGCAGACTACCATCCCAGCAGCATCCCTGTATCCCACCCTGCAGTGAGGACCCAGGCTGGACTCTGGGATGTGCTGGGTGACCCAGCTTGCATTGGGAGCTCTGGGGTTCAGGCTGGTACCCACACCCCCTCTCCTGCTGAGGCTGGGATGCTACGGGGCTTTGCCTGGAGGCAGCACCCTTGGGAAGGGATTTGTGGTGATTTCTCGTATAAACAAGTGGCCTGGATGCACACGGTGCTTGCAAAACACAAATAAATAGTAAGGAAGTGCAGATTATCCCAGGAAATACAACACGTGGGCTGCAGGACCTGCCAGCTGTCCTTGCACGGGGCAGGGCAGTCGGCTGTGGCCAGGAAGCCCTTGGGAGAGGAAAAACAAGGAGCACAGCCAAAAGATCCCTGTAAAAGCTCTGCTGGGTCTGGCTGGGTCCTGGCTGCTACCTCTGCTCAGCCCATGTGGTGCCAGCTCTGGCACATGGCTTGTCAAGCCGTGCTGGTGGTGCTGGGCAGGAGCTGCAAACCTGGGGCTTTCCAGAGGCATGGGAAACAAGCCAGTTCCAAGCCCTGAAGCACGATGAGGGATGGTGATAGCGGCCCTTTGCAGCCTCTTTGCTCTGCTAAAGAGAGCAGCAGCACCACTGATCTTACAGTGAACCCATAGAATCACAGAATTGTTAAGGCTGGAAAAGCCCTCTAGGACCATTGAGTCCAACCATTAACCCGGGTCCCCTGGGTCCCCCAGGTCTCCCACTAAACCACGTGCCCAAGTGCCACATCCAGCTGCAAACAAGCCCTCCTGCCAGACCCAGCTGAGACTCTGTTTGCCCCCTTGAGAGCTGCTGTCCCAGGGCTTCTGCATCGCCCACAGGCTTTGCCCCTCCAGGCTTCCTGCCAGGGCCACAAAGGCGACTCAGGAAAGAGCAGAGGTGCCAAGACACCCCTCCAGCTGCCTCCCAGCAAGTTCACCCTGAGGCTTGACCCAGGGCCAGATTTTAATCTGCTTGATGCCCTGTTAGTTCCAGATAACACGAGGCAGGGCTGGACAGTGATGGAAACACCACGAGGCAGTCAGATGCCGCTCCCCTCTCACCCAGCCAAGGCCTCCTTCCCTCCATGGCCAGCTATTCCCCATGGGAAAAATGGGGGCGGGCAGTGGGATTGGGGGTTGGCAATCTGGGAACATCACCTGCTAAAAGGGTCTGATCTGCTCCAGGCTCTTGCTGTGCCTTCCATATGGTGCCAAACCCCTCCAGCTGGGGAGAGGAGCTCTTACACAGCCATGACCTGGCCCTCCCAGCACGTTCAAGAGCAAAGGAATTACTCTTCAAGAGCTGGGAGCTGCTCTTCAAGGGACCAACCTGAATCCCAGTGCAAACCAGTTTGTAGCTCATCAATGATTAACCCCTTCCTGGGATAGCTTTCCCTGCCCAAAGCCATTCCAGGGGGGACATGGCACTACAGTCAGGATGATGTTTCAGCTCAGAAACATGCTTTGCAGAACTCCACAGGGAAAACATTGCTCCCCTCAGCAGAGCCTTTGTTGCTGGGCAAATCCTGCTCAGCCCAGGATAAACCTGAACATTCCTCTCCTCAAGTCCTGCAGGGGATTTCCATGTCAGCTGGGCATTTTCCCCACACTTTCATAACCCTTATCTGGAACATGAGTCCTGCTCGAAGCACAGGCTGAGCTATCACATCCTTCCTCACCCTCCAAAGTCTTCCTGGAGATACCGGCCAGCATCAGCCAGCAAAGATATGCTCCAGCATTTTTTCCATGTAAGAGAGACATTTTCCCAGCCAAACCAGCTTCTCCACCAAAGGAGTTTGGTATTTTTAGGAATGGGGAGATCTGAAGAGGCTCCAAGTGTTTGCTGGGAAAAGGCTATGGTGAGAACCTGCATAGCAACCCTGTGTCCTCCTGCCAGCCCAGCTTGAGAGCTTTGCCTTGGGGAGCCTCAAGACAATAAATCAGTGGCACCTCAAGCCACCTTCCCCTACATTTCAGGTGTCCCCTTTCCCAGGGACACACATGGACCTGGTTGTCTTCAGGGCATGGGCAGTGTCACATCTATCCAAGCTTCTGGGAGACACTCCTTGGGGTGACCCGAGCTCTTACCTGGTATTTATCTGGGTCAGCCCCTCCAGCCTGAGCAACAAAGAGCCCGGAGCCCTCTTCCAGCTCCATCTCATCCGGGGAGCGCTCGAAGCGGACGCGCTCATGCTCCTCACAGTCCAAGTAGAGGACGACTTCCTCCTCCTCTACGCTGATGGCAAAGCGTGTCCACTGGTTGAGCAGGGTGGGCACGGTGAAGGTGGCAGCTGGGTAGGAGCTGGGTGAGCCCGGCTCTGTGTAGTAGAAGATGATCTGCTGCTGGCCCGCCCGCAGCTCTGAGAGCTTGACACCCACGTAGATGATGCTCTGCGAGGAGTCCGTGACAGCAAAGAGCACGCCGGCCCGGGGCGTGGTGGGCTGGATGTGGAACAGCAGCGAGAAGTCCCGGTAGAAAGGGCTTGGCAGGTGGTACCGGGCCACCTGGCCCGTGTTGGCGTTGGGACCAAAGACGTAGCCAGGGTTGTTGTCGGGGCCATAAATTCTGTGGATCTCCTCCGTTGGCGGGTCCCCAATCAGCTCCAGCAGGCTGACCTCTGCACTCAGGCTCTCTGCAAGGAGGAGGGACAGGGGATGGTCTCAACCAGCCAGGATGGTCACTCAGCAAGGACATCCCTGCCCGTGCCTTGCAAATACAGCGTCCTTCAGTGGCTTCCTTCGCTCACCCGCCCAAAGACTTGTGCATTGGCCAAGGTGGTGATCTTGAACTGCTCCCACCACATCATTTGGATGTGTCTCCCAAAACACCCCCCATTCCCAGCTGCTGGCCCTCCAACCACAGCTGGGATATCACAGAATCATAGCATGGCTTAAGTGGGAAGGGACCTTAAAGACCATCTCATTCCAAGCCCCTGCCAGGAGCAAGGACACACTCCACTAGACCAGGTTGCCCAGATTCCCCAAGATGGGATAAAACCAAAGGGGTCTTAGGGAGATGCTGCTAGAGCACCAGGATGCTGAACCACCATGGAGCCCCGGGGAAGCGTGTTGCATCCATACTCATTTCGGGATCACAGTGACCCCTTGCGTCATCCCAGGACAAGATCCTATGGTCACCCCAGCTGGGAATAAATCAGAGCCTTCCCCTCGCAACACCCTGGGAACGCAGCTCAAGGCAGCTCAGCTTCCCAGATGCTCTTAATTTGGAGGTCACCTCCTTTCCCAACTCCTGTTGAGAATTAGGGAATTGGGGAAGTTCTGCTGGAGACAGTCGCTCCTACCCGGCTCAGCTGAACATCTGGTCAGGGCGAGCCAGTGCTGTGTCTGCCAACTCCCGTTGTTCTGGCAGCCAGCACATCCTAATCGCCCACACACCGGGCGCTGGATTCCTCCTCTCCTATGTCAACCGCTCGGGGCTGGTGCCAGCTCCAAAGGAGAGGCTTTTTAACCTCTCCTTTCCTGGGAGGGAGGAAACCCAACCACCCTGGCTCCAAAACTGCTGAGGGATCTGCACTGGGAATGGATGCTCAGTGCTGAGCTTTGGCCCCATCCTGAGCCAGGAGCGGGAGCTGACGCAATTCAGTGCCCCCAGTTCCATCCCTGATTTTCATGTGAGCAATGGGGAGTGGGGGGAATCAGAGGTATATCCTGAGGTATCCTGGGCTGAACCCAGGAGGATCAGCCAGGAACCTCCACCCAGCTCTGGAGCCAGGCATTGTCCCCCACAGCTTTTTAAAAAAAAAAAAAAAATTAACAATAAATATTAAAAAAAAAAAAATAGGAAGAGGCAATCAGCCCAGCCTTGCCCAGCCCAGAAGGAAAACATCTCTTGGATGGTAATGAAGACCTGTGTGCCTCTTCCAAAGCCCAGGGGGCATGAAGCATTCCCAGGCTCCCTTGCTGCCAAGCCCCAATACCAGTGCCAGCCCCATGACAGGGACCCAGCAGTGGGGACATAAGAAGTGCCATCAGCTAAAGGTGGGGACAAATTTTTGCTCTGCCAGAGCCAGACACACTAATTCTCTAAAACTTTGCCTCTGAAACTGCTCTGAGTCCATCCTGTTCCCCAAGCCCCCAGCCCCTCCCAACCTTGGCACCCCAAAACTGAGCACCTGGTTGAGAGAAAATCTCCTTCCCAATCTTCCACCAGTTCTAGCCCCTTCATCTGCCCTGCACTTGGGATCAGGCTTCCCCCAGTCTACTTAAAGAACCTCTGGATTCTGGAGTCCAGCACCCTTTCGCTCCCAGATGTGCACAGCCCTACACCAAAACTGATGGGGTGAGTGAGTGGGGCTCCCCCAGACTCTCAGCCTGTCACCCACCCTTGAGTCACCCCATGCTCAGAACCTCACAAGCTCGTTCCAACTGCAAATGCCAGGATGCAGGGATTGCTTTTATCTGGGGTTGGAGGAAACCAAATTCACAGCAGCATTAAGGAAGAAGGAAACCAGAGCTTCCTCCTGAGGGTCCACACGGGTGTAAGAGCCAGTGCTGCAATTCCTGCAGCCAGACAAGTCATTGTGTCCCCCCAGGGCTCAGGATGACGCTGAAAGAGGCTTTTGTTAGTAGGGCAATTCGCAGCCATTCTCCCCTTGGAGTTGCAGCCAGCTCTGGAGTCTCCCTCCTCCTCAAACATGCCGCTCACCCCCAAATCCGCGCTGGGAGATGGGTGCTAGCACTTCCCAAAGCAAATGGACTTTTTTTCCTGCTGGACAGAGGCTGGATGGGGACTAGGGAGCAGAGGGGTAAGGGGAGACCCCTTCAAATCTCTGCTCCTCTGCAAAAGTCAAGTGCCCCTTCTCACCCCCTCGAGCTTTCAGGCCACGCCTGCTTTTTCCAAAGGACATCCAGAGCCCAAGTGTCACAGCCTATCATCCCAGTGGCAAACTGGCAGCACCCGCCACGGAACAAGGCGAGATGGTGGGGGCCGCAGTGGGTTTGGTGCTGGCACCGGATGGCTGTGGGAATGTCTCTCAATGCAGTGATTCTGCCATTGGAAATGTCCCCAGGATGCTCTGAGCCACCTTCCCACTCTGCCATGACCTTCCTGGCCGGCCTGAGCCCAGAATGGGATCCAGGGGACCCCCAGCACACAGCAGCACACAGAGTCACTCCATGGGGTGCACCACAGCCCCCACATCCCCCATCCCTTCCCGACACTGCCCATCCAAGCAAGCAGGGTGCAGTCCCAGATGGGAAAGCACCTCCTCTGTGGGCATCCCCGTGATTCCAGTGCATCCCCCCACAAACAGAGCCTCTTTGACAGAGAGGACCCTGTGTGTGACCCTGCTTTGCCAGCCCCCAGTCTCGGCATTCCTCCTTGGCATCTCCCGGCCATCCCCCGAGGTCGCAGGGGTCGGCACGGGAACACAGCCTCATTCAGAGGCGCTGGCAGGCAGCGGGGAGCTCCAGCTTTCATCGCAATTGCATTTCTCCAAGCACCAGTCACCCCCCCGCTCCTGTCTCTCATCCCCCTGCCCTGTCTGGGTGCCTAAAAGGTCACCAGGGAATGATGAAGCTGGGGGTGAAGTAACCTCTCCCACTTTTCCAAGCAGTGGGATCAAACATTAGCTGCCATCGGGTGAATCATTAACCCCAAAGGGCTGCTCTGGGAGAGGGAGCATGCAGGCATGGCTGAGGGTCACCTTGAAACCTCCTCGCCACCACACTGCTGTGGCTGGGTGGTCACGGGCTCCAGGTCCTCACCCTGTTGCTGCAGGGAGCTGCCAGCTCTCCAAGTGCTCTGATCCCAGGCAGGACAGACACCCCAAAGCCCCGTGGCACCCGGAAACTGGCCCTGAATGTCAGCACAACGCACGTGGGGAGCATCCCCTGCGCCGGCCACTGTGATTCACGAGGAGCAATGCTCAGCCTTGTGGAGGGAGCCAAAACCTGCCTGTTCTGTTTGGAAAAGCCAAACAGAAAGCTGGATGGAAAGCAATTTTGGATTTGGCAGCGTCCCACGGGCACAAGGCAGAAGCATCACCCAGCACCTGGGGGAGTCTGGGCAGAGGAGACACAACACAGGGATGTCACCCAGACACGTTACCTGCAGAAGAATTAATAAAGACACAAGAAACCCCTTCATCCTCCTCAGGGAGAGCATCGCAAGGCAGAGGCAGGCGCCCGCTGGCCAAGTGAGTCCAACACAGGTCTCTGACGGCCTCACAGAAGCCCTGGCACGGCGGGGGGGTTACGGGGACCGAGGGGCTACAGCCGGGGAGCAGCAGCAAGCAGAGGAACCACTCCAGGTAGCGATGGCACCGTGACTCAAGCAGCCCCTCCCACTCATGCAAAGCCACCCGAATTTCCTCCTCGCTGCCGTGCCGGAGGTAATTTGGCAATCGGACATGGCTGGTGCCCAGCAGGCTGCAGAAGGGCAGGTGGGTTGGGATGGGCTGGCAACGGCCGGCCACTGTCATCAGTCCTGGAAAGAAGGATGCGAGCCCCGCGCCGCCACTCCCGTAGAGCCGCATGGTAGCGGTTAGTAAATCAAACTCCAGAGAGACGGAGGTACGGGCAGCAGGAAGATCCACACCCTTATCCACCCTCTGGTCAGGCCAAGGGGGGCCCTGGCTCCCATTCCTGCTGACCAGAGCCAGCCCCGGGTGGCCGGTGCCGTGCCACAGGCTTGGTGATGCTCCATGCGGGTGATGGGGAAGTTGTGCTGAGGGGTCCTGGAAGGGCAGTGCCCGCTCACGGGTACTGTCACCTGGTGAGAAAGGAAAAGGGGCACTACCTGGCTGGGGACCCGCTGGTCTCTGCAAGGACACCTGTGTCTCCATTGCTGTAGGAGTTCCCGTCCCCAGGAGCTCTGGATTCTCGGTGGTCACTGTCCTCAGGAGCTCTGGGTCCTCAGGGGTCACTGTCCTCAGGAGCTGGGTGTCCTTGGTGTTCCTCATCGCCAGGAGCTGCAGATTCTCAGTGGTCAACATGCCTGGGAGCTGTAGGTCCTCAGTGGTCCCTTTCCCCAGGAGCTGTGGGTCTTCTGTGGTCCATGTCCCCAGGAGCTGTGGGTCTTCTGTGGTACTTATCATCCCTAAGAGCTGAGGGTCCTCAGTGGTGCCCAACCCCAGCAGCTGTAAATCCTCAGTAGTCCCTGACCCCAGGAGCTCAGGGTCCTTAGAGGTCCTTGACCCCAGAAGCTGGGGGTCCTCAGTGGTCCCCATCCTCACGAGCTGTGGGTTCTCAGTAGTCCCTGATTCCAGCAGCTGCAGGTCCTCAGTAGTCCTTGTCCCCAGGAGCTGTGCATCCTTGGAGGTCACTGACCCCAGGAACTGGGCTTCTTTGGCTGTCCTCATACTCAGGAGCTGTAGATGTTCAGTGGTCCCTGTCCCTAGGAGCTGCAGGTGCTCAGTGTTTCCTGACCCCAGGAGATGTAGGTCCTCGATGGTCCCTGTCCCCAGGAGCTGGGGATCCTCAGTGTTTCCTGACCCCAGGATCTGGAAGTGCTCAATGGTCCCTGTCCCCAGGAGCCGAGGGTCATCGGTGGGGCTGCTGGCCGCCTGCTGTCCTGGGGCAGGTGACATGCTGTGGGGAGGAGCGATGCTTGGCCACACAGTGCTCTCCACCATGGCATTCCTGTCCCACTGCTCCGTGGTTTTGGCTGCGGTTCCCTCGCCCCCAGGAGCTGCTGTAGCAGGATCTGGCTCCTGCCGCCGTGGGGTGGTGACATTCCCCGCCACCTCACCGCCCCACGTCCCCGGAGATGGGCTGGGAGCCGGAGCTGCTGCTGAGGTTGGCGGCTCCAACGCCGGGATTCCCTCGCCGGGTGCTGCTGGGCTTCCTGTGGTCTTCCTGCTGTCCCAAACCCAGTGCAGGAGCTGTGTTTCAGAGCAGGAGAAGCAGCAAGCCAGGAGGAGCAGAAATCCCAAGCGAGGTGGGGCCATTGGGAAGGCAGACGAGCTCCGTGTCTCCCGAGAGCGGAGCGGAAAGGCTGGAGGAAGGAGAGGAGGGAAGAGGCAGGAGTTCTGCCCCGGCCAGACTCTGGGAGCACTCACATCGCTCTCTCCTCCCAAGCTCCGGCGCTCGACCCTTCAAAGCGGAGCAGAGCAGGGGGAGGAGCGGCCGCGCCGCCCTCCTCTCCCCTCCCGCTGCCGGCGCGGCCCCTCGGGGACCCCGCGGAGCCTGGGGACACACCTGAGCCCCCCAAAAACCTCCGGGAGCCAAGCCAGCCTTCAGACGCACCCTACTGCCTGTCCCAGCAGCTGCTGCCAGATGTTTAACTCCTTCCTGCCCAGAAAAATCCTAAATCCTCTCTCCCGGTTCGGCGGCTGCAGTTGAATCACCAACACTTGGAGCTGTACATGGTGGGGTTGTGCAGGGACATGGTCCTGATGGATGCCCAGCTTTGGCAGGACACCCCACTTCAGGCGTCGGGAGAAGGTTGTAATCTCAAAGCAAAAGTGAAGAAGGAGGGAAAAAAATCCCAGAAAACATTTCCAGTGTTTCCACAGGCTGGAAACACAACAAGGCCAAGTGTTTAAAGTTGCTTTTCTGGCTCAGTTACAGGGCCAGGACCCACCAGGTGCTGTCGCAGGATGGCCAGGGGGTCACTGCAGCTTTCCTGGCTCCCCAAGCATCACGAGCCAGCAACACCTCAAAGCCAGGTCTGAGCAATCTCAGGTTGCCCAACCACAAGCTTTCCTGGAGCCCAGGATGAAAATCTCCCCTGGGCAGTACTGACACTCTCCCACACCCCAAAAATTTCAGTTGTTCTTTGCCTCGGCTTAAAAAATTTACCCCCACATCCACTTATCTGGTGACGGTGCCCCTCATTCCTAAGGATGGCCAAGCAGAGATGGAACATTCCCAGGACCTACACTGCCATGGTGACACCAGGCAAGTCACCACCATGGCTCAAGAAGTCCCTGAGAGAGGGTTTTGATGGGGAGGTGACAATTTTGGCTCCCCTTGGCTATGTGACCAGGAAAGTCACAGTGTGCTGTAACATGGTCTTACAGACTGGAGATCTCCACATGCTGACGCTCTAGTCTAAAAATATTTAGGAAAATCACCGAGAAAAATGCTATATCCATTTTGCTTTATGCAACATTTCCCACACTACTTTTGAGGCAAAGCAGGCAAGCGTTACCCTGCAGATGGGAGCTGGCTGCTGCTGCCAGCTTCTCTCCCCATGACCAATGCTGTTAGGGGTGCCTGCTGTCGAACAGCCCCCACCCATCAGCACGGGACATGGCTTTGTCTGGATGGCAGAGCTTCCACAGGGCCCCTCCTGGAGCTTACATACTTCCATCAGCCTGGGGAAGGAGCCAGGTGTCTGCCAACCTTCTCTGGCATGTCCAGACGGGCTCGGCTGCCCTGGGGCCAGGGTGCGGTGGCACCGCACCGTGCAGGACTCCTTGGCACATCGGAGAGGGATAGGAGTGCCTGCTGCTTCCATTCCTGCTGGTGGGATGGAAAACCTTGGTGTTCCTGCAGCCTCTCCCCCTCAGAGCCGCGCAGCTCCCAGGGTGGGGAGCATCACATGCCCCCATGAGCTGCCTGGTCTCTGCCAGGAGGATCTCGGCAGCAGCACCCTGCTGGGGTGCCCCAAGCATATGCAGACAGAATGCCCAGCTAGAGAAATTCCCGTTTCTCCTGCTGCAGGGATTAGGCAGCTCATGACAGTGAAGTGGAGCAGCAGTCCCGTGGGACACCCTCGTTAAGTCAATGATCTTCGTTCCACTGCACACCTCCTTGCTGGCAGCTCCCTGGGAAGGAGCCAGGGCTGAGGCATCCCAAAAAAAAAAGGATTTCCAAATGAGGTGCCCTGATGGTGGGCTGGTGGCACAGGTGGCATTAGAACATCTTGGCCCAGTGCAACCAGCTCTGCCACTGACCAAGCAGCCAGGCAGGGACTGGGAAGGCACCATCTGGTGAAAGATTTTGAAGTATTCCCCCAGGGAGAAGCCATGGCAGTTGGTTTGCTGGCAGAGCAGGGAAAACCCCTTGTTTTAACCTCCTCCAGGTTAAAGGCTCCCAAAAAGTGCTTTGCACACTCCATGAGATGCTGCCGCCAGCTTCCCATAACCTTGGACTTCTTGAAAAGCGAATTTGGACCCTCACCCTGGTTCCAGTTCCCTCCCAAAGAGGCTGGCTGCACCTTCCCAAAGGTGTCTGCACCTGGTGCTGCAGCATGGTTCCTCAGGAAAAGGGGGATTGGGCTGCCATAAGAAGGCACTGAGGGCTCAGCCCTGGGCCAGAAGAATAGAGAGGGCAGGAAAGAGGAGGGGGGGAAGGGAAAAGAGAGAAAGAGCTGGAGTGGGGGAAAAGAGTGGAGATGGGAAGAAAAGAGATTGGGGGAAGAGGGTGGGGAAAAGAGAGTGGGGAGAAGAGAAAGGGAAAATGAGAGGGGAGGAAGAGGGAAGGGAGAAAAGAGATACAAAGAGGTTAGGGAAGTCGAAGAGTGGGAAGTGAAGGAAAATGTGGGGGGGAAGTGAAAGAAGTAGAAAATGAGAGTAGGAAGGAGAGAGAGAAGGAGAGAGAAAAGAGGGACAAAAGAGAGGAAAAAAGAGGAGGGGGAAGAGAACAGAGAAAATGCAAAAAAGAGAAGAGGGGGAAGAGAAGGAGGAAGAGCGAGGGGGACAAGGCAAGGGGGGGAAGGGGAGGGGAAGAGAAAAGGAAAAAGAGACAGAAGAAAAAAGACAAAAAGAGAGGAAAAAGGGAGGAGAAGAAGGGACACTGAATAGAGAAAATGGGGGGAAAAAGAGGGAAAAAGAAAAGGGGAAAAAAGAGGGAAAAATAGACAAAAAGTAGGAAAAAAGAGCCGTTCATTCAGACCTGCAGCCTTTCATCTATGGTCAAAGCACACCGATGTTTCTCTCCGGGGTTGCTCTCCCTGTAGGATTTTGGTAGAGGACAGGGAGCCTGCCCCAGCCCAGCTCAGCAACTCCTCCTGCACAGCCCGAGGATTCCCAGCACGAACCGAGCAGATGAAGAGACAGGCAGAGGGATGGACGGACGGACAGCAGAGGGAGCCTCAGGCTGAGCAGAGCACAGGTGTTTCCTCAGGAGACCCCACTTTGCTGGATTCAGCCCTGAGATCTCAGAGCTCCGGGCAGGGACTGGGAGGGAGCACGGGTGGGCACAGCCCTCCTGGAACGGGGGAAGGGGAAAGGGAAAGGTGCGGGAAGGGAGAGGAGAGGAGAGGAGAGGAGAGGAGAGGAG